TAGTATATGAATTTGTTGACAAAGTGATAATGAATCATAATATGATATTATATACGGGGTGTTCCATTTGAAAAATCAAAGAAGCCGCTACTTTATAGTAGAAGCGACAACGCCGCTTCGTCTGAAATATTTTAGGCGTGTAGGTCATATTGATTTATGCATACTGTGAAATTTACAGGTTGATCCATTGAATAGTTTATCAGAAACGGCTAATTAACGCTCATCATGAAAAGCCCTGTATATGTAGAGCCAAGCGTTTGGATCACTGTAGACCACTTTTCATAAAGAGTAGAATACTAACAATCTACTGCATCTTCATTCTAGAAACAGTATGTCTAAGTTCAAATGAGAAAAAATACTTTTCCTTCCGAAAGAATATATAACACCCGGCAAAATGCCAATATACCTCTGCCAAAGCCAACTTCAACATTAACACAAAATTCCATAATATTTGAGAGTCAGAAGATATTCAATCATCTACCATTTGAAATGAAAGGTATAATAGATACAAAAACATTCCGAAAACGTCTGAAAGAAGTATTACTCACCAAAGCATATTATAGCTTGGAAGGATATCTTGAAGACAGGTTTTGAGTACCTGAACCCTGGAGGTCGAACCGACTGATTTATTTATTTTATCTATACATGTAAATCAATTCTTAACTGCTTTGTAGAATATTATGTCCTGTCTACATGTAGCGTTAGAATCTATATTGTTCCATTGTTACTGTGAATTCTACCGTTTTTTTAAAATTCACTTAAGCTTTGTAATAAAAATTTTTTTCTTTGGCAATAAAGTACATTTTTGATTGGTTGAAATTATGCACGTTTTCAGACGAATCGACTCCAACATAAACAAAAGATGGGCAATTCCATTCAGGCTATCCATTGCGTAAATTTCAATATCATTACCCAAGATAAAGCTGGATTTGTTAATTTGTGGTCAGTTAGAGGTAGCAAATATGAAATAACGGACAGCAGAGATTGTAGTGGCGGATATTGCAAAAGTATATTGTTCGAAGGCTCTTTAATAATTGCCAAAGAAGATGGATGCATTGAAATATTGCAAGTATATAATCTCCAAAAAGTAAAGGAATTGAAACCTAATAAGGAAGGCCTGGGACATATTATGATACTAGACCAGGTTTTATTAGATAATAAAGTTATTATTATAGCTGGCTATGAAACAGGTGAGTTGACCTTTTTTTTGTTGGGTTGGGTTGTATGAATGAAGACAAGTAAAAGCTTTTACTATCGTTCCATCTCTGTCATCAGTTTTACCACATAATAATTCTGTCTCAAAAAATGTGAGCAAAAGTATTTGCTCCTGTTTTATTCATATGGATCTTTTTTTTTCCAGTTAATTATAAATCAACACTACATAAACAATTTGACTTTAGCACCAACTAATAATCCTCGATAATGTAGGTACTTATAGAAATAGATTTATTAGAAAGAGATGTCCTAATAAACAAAGATTATACAGATATATCAGTTATTAAACAAAATACAAAATGAACTAAAATATATTAAGACCTATTTAGTAGAATATAGTGTGTAAAAACGTAGCAGTAGTAAATGATGCAGAGATTAATAGAGAGAATAATGAACAACTCAATTTGAATAATATTGTGCCGGTAGATATTGAATAAGGAGCGTTTGAAGAGATGGAGGATGTTACTTTATTTAATTTCATTAGGAAGCTTGTTATAGTCCAAGAGTCCAGAGTTGCACCCAGAGTTGCTCACACCAAAAAAAAACACGTGAAATATATTGAATACATATTTGGAAATTTGTAAAAAAAAATGTACCAGAATGTAAACACACTCGGCTACGGCTTATAATGATCGAGTTAAGCGCGACCTTGGCCAAGTCACAATCAATTGACAAAGACCAGCAGCGTCCGGCGGTATTTTTTCTCAGGAGATAATTTACATCACTACTAATAATAATTTCAAATCTGATTTATCCTTTGTAAAAATATATTAGATCATGTCAACGATCACTTTTTTCTTCTGTAGTTAGAGGGTGTTCAAAAGGTAGCTAACAATAATAGCTGTTTAGCAATATTGTTGAATTGAAGATATTATTAAATCTAATATGAAATACATAATTCCTTACATGTTTTAGGTCATTTGGTGATATGGAATATGGAAACATCCGAATGTTATGGATTCTTGAAAGTACAAGAACATTTACTATCCTTAACATTTGATCCAGAAACTAGGCGAGGTATATGTGGGAATACCTCGGAAACTTTGCAAGTGTTTTCTATAAACAACGACTATAAAATGGAACTAAAAGCAGAAGTGTCGATGACAAACGATGGCTGCAACGTTCTGAAACTGCGACGGCCAGAGTCGAAAATTATGCTCGCAGGTTGTAGCGACGGTAAAATAAGGGTCTATTCTTGGAGAACACTGAGAGTACTGGCAGCTCTGTCAGGACACAATGGACCTGTTACTGATATACAATGTTCACCTTGTAAAGTCAACTTTTGGAAAGCTAAAATCTTTGCTGCTAGTGGCGCTGATGGAGTTATAAGTCTGTGGAATGTGTATAACTGAAATTTGAAATGTTTCTATTGCTGTAGATTTTTGAACGATTGTCTTGAAGATTTTTTGATAATTCGTATATTTTATGTTCAAATGTTAATTTTAATGATATAGTAGTTGTAAATAACAAACACTGAACACCTGGATGGCAAGAAGATTTATGGACTTCTGGCAGAATCTTCCAGGATTGGCTTACTCCAAGGCGTTTATTCACCCTTCGAAGCTCGAAAATTAGGAAAAAAAGGAAAATTAGTTGCATCATCCAAAATATTTACATACATATACACATATATAAAAAAAACGATAAAATCGCCAGTCAGAACACTGAAACTAAAGCAAAACAGCAAGTGATATATCTTATTATTCTTCTGTGAAAGAATCCTCTAAATATTCCTTATGACTGTAGTAACATTTGTCCAGTAATAAGTTTTTAACTTTAACAAATTTGCAGAATTCAATCTCTTTATAGAAAGTGGCAGTCTGTTATAAAAACTTATGGCATTACTACTACTACACTCTTATGCGAAGGGACCCTTAGAGCAGTAGCATGGCGAGTATCACGACCGTGAATGCTCAAGTTTGTTATGTACAAGTCAAGGTTCCTGTGCACAAAAATTACACATTTCATTATATATATTGCGGGTGCAGTCAACAAGCGTTCTCTTTTGAAAACGGATCTACAACTTTCTCGGTACCCCAGGTTGACTATCAATCTTATCAGTCGTTTCTGAGAGATGAAAACTCTAGAAAATTCCTTCGCACATCCCCAAGCCATTATGTTGAAACTGATGTGGACGTATGCATTCGCAAAGTAAACATTTAGTAAACCAAACCTATCTAAACACTATTTTAACTGTTTGATCTAATAATAAGCTGAATTGAGTTTACTGCACAATTTTTGTATGTGACTTCTCCAGGTAAGATTCTCATCTAATGAAGTCGCCCCGGAGCGCCAATTAATTTTTATTGTTGTTTTTATTTTATTTTTATCGTGTGATTCCTCCTGTGATTCAGTGCCTCACATTCGCATAAGATGTGTAGAGCTGTTTATATCCCTTCATTGTATAATCTGCAACTGAGGTCTCCGTTGTACAGTCCCATTTTATTCAGGTGTCCTCTAAGCGGACAATGACCGGTTAGTAACTCTGTATTTATTCTGAGCCGATCCCTACTATATTGAAGTAGTTCTTCGGTTCTTTTCTCGGACGGTTCCCTAATGAAGGTTCTACTGTGTTTGTTGCCAGGTACTTTTGTCCAGTACTCTGTGTGCTTCTTATTGGTCCATGTCCTAATCTGGTTTCGTACCAATGATTTTGGTACCCCCAGAGCTGGTTCAAGACCTATATATGAAGTTGATGATCCGCGTCTGGCGCATTCATCAGCTTTATCATTACCTGTGGTTCCTGAATGCCCTGGCACCCAGTACAAAGTTAATTTGTTCCTGTTTGCAGGTTCATGTCTCCTTCGCGTTTGTCAGGGTCCCTAGTGCGTTCTTGCTGTCTGTAAAAATATTGATCCGCTCATTTCTTTGAGGTCTCAATTTAATAAGCCTTGCACACTGCAAGATATCATACACTTCCGCCTGAAAGACGGATGTGTATAGTCCTAGCGGATAGCTGTAGTTTAGATTTCTATCCGCTCGGTATATTCCAGCTCCCGTTCCATGTTTGGTCTTCGAATCATCTGTATACCAGGTGTTTTTTCCAAACATATTTTCGGGATGACTAATGGTCTTCCACTCTTCACGGCTTATGATTTTGGCCGTGAAGTTTGTGTTAAAGGTGTACTTCGGTGTCATGTGGTCTGTGCACATCTTCCTCTTTGAAGATGATCACTTGGTGATCGAAACACGTGTCGAGGTGTTAAAAATAACGATTTGGTGTTGAGAAAAAACTCCAGTAATATTGATTGAATGAGAAAAATATGGTTGAATGGAATGCGGAAGAGAGCAATCAAGTTCAAGATGAACGCTTTACAATAATGTGTAGATCATGCATAGAAGTTACTTTCAGCATTAGATACACTGGAAGAAAGAGCCCTCCTGAAACAACTACTGTCATATAAACATTGTCATAAACACAAAAGAAAAAGCACTTTAGTAACAACCTTCATATGAATTATACAACACTTTATCCTATTCAGTTTGTACTCCAAACCTTCAAACGAATTGGAATCAGATGTCATTTATAGGAATGCTACACAATGTAGTATATGAGAGAGATATGATATAAAATGTCACTTAAATGGAAAACTCATCCTCAATGGTGGACTTTGAAGTTTCGGAATAAGGTCTTGTCAACTCATCAGCACCTATACTTGAAGTATTAATTTCATTCATAACATTACGACTTTATGTCAAGGATGAGAAAAATCCTTTAATAGCAGCATTATTCATTCTGTCTTTGTAATATATATCTTCTGCATTACGTATTACTCCTCTATAGATTTTTCTGTACTTATTGAAATATGTTTCAAAAGCAAAACTGTTCAAGTATTTGAATATCTTAGTTTCAACAAATACGTTATTCCCAATAATCCCCAATAAAGCTATAAAACTGCTGCTTTCTGAGTACTACATCAATTATTTAAAAAAATACATTGGCCTCCAACTTATAAATTCGCGTAAACGTTTCGAATGGGCTTATAATGAATGTATCAGAGAACTCACAGCTCATTCTGTGAATTTAAGAACTCGACTTATTCGCTTATAAAAAAGTTGACATTAATAATGTCATCTGTCAAAACATTATTCATGTGTAATCAGTCTAATGTCAGAATCAGAATGAAAGAAAAATAATAAAATAAGGAAACTGCGTAAATGAAGTGATTAAAACTCAGTAGCAGTATTAAAATTATTTTTTATAATAAGACGACGAATAAATAAAAATAAATCAATCTATGGTGAAGGTATATCAATATGATTCATTTGTTGTTTTTCCTTATTTGAACTGTTTTCAAACTCTCCATTATCACCTCACAGATTTTTCCTCAATTATTTGTTTTAGATGGATAAGTTTGCAATAGATTTAGATCAGGTACTCAATGATTTTGAATATAGTGAGCTAACAGATCAGTACCATTCCTCAAGAAATCAAGAAGGACATACAAGTACTTCCTCTAATAATAGTAATGGAAAACATTCTATCAACAACGTTTTTCACAGTTTGAATGAATATTTGAATACGAATATCGATGTAGCGGATGTTAGCCAAATAGAAAATACATCTAAAAAATCTACTTGTAATAATTCAATTTCTGAGCCCGATAATGTGAAAAGTATTGATGACAGTAGTGAATCAACAGTTGGTGGTTCATCAAAAAATGAAGAAATATGTAATTCAGACAGAAATGAAACTATCATCGCATCTTTCATTTTAGATGAAGTAGAAAAGTTGAAAGTTTCATCATGTGAAATAGAAAAGGAAACCGTTGATATTAGTTCTAAAATAGAGAATGACAATTATGACGACCACAAGAAAAAAGCAAATTCTGTAGAAAAAAATAACTCTGAAGATATTGTCCAATTTAGTAATCTAATTGAAGTATCTAATGAGAGTACAGAAGTAAAAGAGTCTCCTGAAAGTAATGTGCAACCTAGTAGTCTTATTGAAATTTTTAATGAGAATGCAATAGATATTCGTGAAACACAAAATGAAAATATAATTATAGCACAGAAAGAAAACAGTGATGTTCATTTTGATGTGGAAAATATTGAGGAATCATCTAGAGTTGGATTCAAAGATGAATTAAATTTAAGTGACAGTGATATAAATACATTACTGGCAGAATTTGAAATTGAACTAGCAGTAACTGAAGGTGATATAAATAATCGTCCAACTACCGAGAATGTTTCTATAATTGATAATTCAGAGATACCTTTAAACAACTTAAAAATTCCACAAGGTGATATAATACATAGTAACGAACCAGAAGTTCTAAAAATGGATCTTGAATTTCCTAAAAATGATGAAGAAATTCACAGCTACCAAAGAAATGTTGAAAGAAATAGCCCAACAACTTTAAATAATGATGAAGAAGTTCTGAAAGATGATCATAAAGATAATCCCATCATGCTAGAAAATCACTCAAAAACTTGCGAGAGAACTTTGGAAAAAAATGAGGATAGTCACGAAGTTCATGAAAAATATCTTGATACTGAAAGTGGTCATTCAATTGAAAATGTTACTGTTTGTGAAAATAAGCTGACCTCTGGAGATGATATGGTAGAATACAAAGATGCCAAAGATTGTAAAAATAATGAATTCTTAGAGAGAGAAAGTAAGTATGTCAAAGCTGTTTTTCAAGTTTCTTGGCCGTGGTCTACAAATTTGTATGTGTCACGTTTCATCTACAACTGCATTAAACATTATCAAAGGTGTTGGAACAACATATTCAAAGCTCTACTTGTCTCACACCATGATTCGGAATTCGGTTTTATTCCATTGGTGGTTGAGGTTGAGTTAATTGGTGTGCATCATGTATTGTTGAGTTCAGGTACCCAGGCTTTATTTATGTTAATTGTCTCTAACTTTCTGTTGAAATTGTCCCTGTTAATTTTTTTGTCTTCCCTAATATAGTCTCTGAAAGTAGCTCTATAGTCTATTAAGCACTTGGGTATTTTTAAATGTGATATGCTCAAGGCAATAGTTTCTCACATGTTTAGAGAACTAGTGGTGATCAACATCAGAGGTTATAAAGACAAATTCACCAATTTACTCAATTGAAAGGCGAATGAGATTTAATCAGAATACGACTGCCAGTCAGATATACATGAGCATAATATTCCAAAATATAGATTAATCAAATCTCAAAAAAATTCTTGGAATTTCAATTTATGTAACTGCTTGCCAGGGATAATCAAATCACTATCTTTCAATCAGTTCAAAGAATGCGCAAAAATATATTCTTGAACACTGTTTTTTCTCCACAGACGAGTTTGTCGTCACAACAAAGCAACTGTGTCATGCACTCAAGTCATCGCTTCTCTGAAATTTTCCGTTCTGTTTGTTATTTATGCCTCGCTTGATTATGTATGTAAAAAAGATTCCTAATGAAAGTAATTGGTGGCCCCTGACCTACAACATTCACAGTTATTTCTGTTAGGACATATAAGAAATCAGATCGTTACTGTTCAGTACGGCCTGCCCTAGTATCGCTGATCTAAATTCTCCCTTCTTTGAAATATTCCTCAACTCCTTGCCGCGTTATTCAAATGAATTCATTTTATCCATATGTAAGCAACGAAATACCATGGGAGCTGATTTCACCCTCCTCAGCGCCCTCTCGCGGCCAGAATATTCGTGGTTGCCCTCATTCATTCCAACGGAATAAAATTAGTGACCAGAAAGCAAGATGCACTGTATAGTAAAAGTATCAGGATAGACTAGAAGAAACCCCCAGTGTACTACGACCCCCCGAAACCACCGCAGCCTTAGATGCAGCGGTAGTACGTTTCAAGGAAAACATCAAAAACGCTCTCTTGGCGCGGCGGCAACCTCTAATTACGAGGAACCACCGAGATCCTATAACGAATTCCCTCCTTCTGAGAAGAACGTATCAAAAGACTCTGTTTCCAGGAGACAGAGCCAGAGCGAATGTGAAAGCCAATGAAGTGAAACGAGCTATCATTGACTTTACAAACAAGAGTTGGCAAGAACATCTCGATAGTTTAAAGTCTGGAGATGGTTCTATTTGGCCATTAGTCAAGAATAGAAAGAAAAAGAGACGCTCCTGCACCCTCACATGGAGCAAGAGGAGTCTGTTTCGCAACCGAGGATTAAAGCCACAGCCTTCGCGGACACTATGGAAAGCCAATTCAGGCTGAACATAGACCCTTACGTTGACATCGATAGGGATATAAGAATCAAGGAAGAAGTGGAAGACACATTTCTATTCGACGACGAGGACGTCATCAGACCCATCTCAGACGACGAACTGAACGGGCTGATCCGCGGTATCAAACCCAAAGAGAGCCCAGGTGCTGACTCAATATCAAACAGGATATTGAAAAACCTGTAAGGATAATTTGTAGACCAATGTAAGGATAATCTGTGGACCACAGCTCACATACCCTGAAAATAGCTGTGGTATAATTACCTGTCACCATGTAAGTTGACATTCTTCTATTAATCCACTTATGTTTCAGATATCAGTGATATAAAAAGTGATGAGAAAACACAAGTGACAAATAAAGAACAAGAATCTCTGCCTGTAGTTATTAAAACTGAAATTGAAACTAACTCCAAGTGTAGCCCGGATAGTGAAGAAACTGAAATCCAAGTTGACAAAAATTCTGGTGATGATGAAGCGGTACATAAGGAATGTGAAAATGAAGAAGCCAAAACTGAATCGGCTAACTTAGCAGAAGGAGATACTGGAATATCTTCTATTGGCAGTCTCAGTGGAGAGAATGATGAAAATGAAGTAAAAAATGGTGAATCGCTCGATTCGTCTTGTAGACCAAAGAATTTATCTTTAATCGGTGCTGATGGGGATCTTCAAAGAGAAATTAATTTGATAGGTATAAGTTTTATCAAAATGATTGGTAATATTTAATTTTGAATTTTCTGCCACCATTCTGGATATTGATTAAAATTTTATTTTTCTGTTTCACATTATATCCTGAACTATTACAGTTTTAGTTTGATCACTAGAAATTTCAATCTAATTACAGTAATTTCACAAACAACACCTAACGATTTGATCTTCACAAACTTTATTTCCAAAAATATCATGACATGTTTCGCTATCACAATAGATTTTTCTTAGTGAATAACGTAGAAAAGCTACTGTGATAGCGAAACAGGTCGTGATATTTTTCAAAATAAAGTTTATGAAGATCAAATTATTAGGTGTAATCTGTGAAATTACTATGGATCTTCATCAAATAACGGCCGAGTCAATCAGCTAATTACAGTAACGGTGTTTGCTCTCTTCAACTTAAAAAGTTTTATAACAAGCAACCAACTGAAGTGAAAGAACTGGAAATAAAGAATTCAAATTGGTCACTGAATTGACCTTATGTCTTTTTTTTCATACTTTATATTATGTACGAGGTCTGTTAAAAAAATAAGGTGAATATTCAAATTTCTACTAGGGCTAGCTACATTCGATTAGCGATTTTTTGAGTTGGTACGCTCCTCTTGAACATATGTCCACTGTTTCAGCTGTTTAGTAATAGGTGAATCAAATATAAACGAGACTTTTTTTTTGGAATTTATTTTTACTTTTAACGCAAAACAGAATATAGTTCATTTTTCTACATAATCTCCTTATTTGGAAACACATTTTTCCCAGCAGATAGGCAGCTTTCCAATTCCTTCCACGTAGAAAGATGCAGATCGTGTCTGCAGCCAATTGCGCACGTAGGCTTCAACCTCAGCATCACTATGAAATCTTTGGCCCTTCAAAGCTTCCTTGAGAGGTCCAAACACATGAAAGTCACAGGGTGACAGGTCTGGACTGTAAGGAGGGTGTTCCAATGTTTCCACCCCAGTTGCTCCAATTTTTCTCTAGTCAAGGCTGCTGTATGGGGGCGAGTATTGTCATGGAGAATAACCACTTCCCTGATCGATAGGTTTCGTCTTTTGCGACGATATGCAAGTCGGACCTCACTCAAAATGTCGCAGTAGTAAGCCGCATTAATTGTTCTGCGCTCGTGTAAAAAATCGAGACACAGCAATCTACGCTGGTCAAAAAAAAAAACGGTAGCCAAAACCTTGCCAGCCGACAAACGTGACTTGGCTTTCACTGGTCCAGTGTTCTCCTCTCCATACTCGCTCGTTTAGACTCTGGAGTGTAGTGGTGCACCCATGTTTCATCACAGGTGATAATGTGAGTGGGAAATTGGTCTTCTTGTTCCTGAAATCGTGCAAGAAGACGCCCGCACACCTGAAGACGATGCAATTTCTGGTCAGCTGTGAGAAGGCGAGGAACCCACCTGGCGCACACCTTACGGTACCCTAGCTCCTCTGTGAGTTAGGAGTAAGTGCTTCCATAACTTATCCCGACCTCACTTGCAATTTCAGAAGTGGTACGACGTCTGTCATCTTCAATAAGCCGTCGAACACTGCTGTTCGCTGTAATGTTGGTGTGAGGTCTGCGGTCATGGCTCTCATTTTCAACACGATCACGACCCTCCACGAAATGTTTATGCCATACAAACATTCTGGCTCGCGACAGTGTCTCTTCCCCGAACTGGCCAGTCAATCTCTTCAACATTTCGGCCGGTTTTACGCCTTCTACGGCGAGAAACTTGATTACAACACGTTGCGCAATTGAAGGATGTATATACCTCTTGCTTCGACATCGTCGGAGGCGAGCCCACGTGCTTCCCCTACTCCTGACAAACAGTGGAAACGTTCTCCCTCCACTATTGTGCCTGAAGGTCGAAAACTCTCGTTTATATTTGATTCACCTACGTATGTTTACTTTGTTGGTGAAAGGCATAAAAGTTAGAAGTGTTTACGTATTCGGCGATTTTCAGCTATCGGAAAAAAAAGGATCATAGAATTTGAATCAAATTTTGTGTAAAAATGGAACTGAAACACTTGAAGTGTTGACAGTGGCATACGGTGATTGTACTCTGAGCCAGAAAAATGTTTACGAGTGTACAAGCTTTTCAGAGAGTGTCGAGAAGGTGTCAGTGATGTCACTCGCCCTGGACGCCCCAGCACATCAACCACCGATGAAAATGTTGAGCAAGTGAAGAAAATTGTTATAGAGAATCATCGAGAAGCTATTAGAGAAGCTGCTGAGGATGTCGGCATATCGGTTTGTTCATGCCATGCAATTTTTTCTGAAACTTTAGGCATAAAGCATGTGGCAGTAAAGTTCTTGCCAAAGTTGATGAATGTTGACTAGAAAAACCGTCACATGAACAACGCTGAGGAATTGTAGATTGATGTCAACGGCGATCCAAATTTGCTTAAACTGGTGACGAATCATGACATCAAAACCAAAGTCTAATTATCCCAATAGAAGAACCCAGGAGAGCCAAGTTCGATCAAATGTCAAGGTTTTGCTCACTGTTTTCTCCGATTACCGTGCCACATGGTCGTATGGTCAATAAGGAATATTATCTTGACGTTATGTGTCGCTTGCGAGAAGCAATGAAAAGAAAACTTGCGGTATTGTGGAATAACAATACATGGCTTTTGCATCACGATACTTTTTTCTCCAGGACAAAACACAAGCACTATAGGAAAATCCCTAAGGCGCTCTAAGAGCGGTGCCTGTGCAAAAGTAGCGATTCACATTGGATTTGAATCGCTGGAGATTAAATCAATTTGAGAAAGCGTTCTCAGGAAAGCGTTCCACATAAACGCAGTTCTCCAAATGAAAGAGTTTTTAAACAGTGAAGTTCGAGGTGTACGAGTTGAACCTCAAAACGATGAGCAGCCACATTCCGTCGCGTATTTCTGATATGTACCGCTCTTGGTGGAATCAAATGTGCTCACTTGTCATTCCTTGTTTGTAATTTTTTGACCAGAAGGAACACCGTAATCATGCCTTGGCACCGTATCTGGTATCTGTAGAGTAGGGAGGGTGAGTGTAGACTCACAGCACTTAGTCCACATGTGACCCATTGTACATCCTCCCGAGGAGTTGTCCTCCTGGGTCATCGTCCATCGTCCTTCCCAGGAAGGTAAACAGGTCACTAGGAGAAATTTCCTTTATATTGGCAGGTGTAGGCCAAGACTCGCCGAATACACTCTCTTTGGCAACCTTTAGGTGTCTCACGCGGGCCTCCGCGAAGGTTTTGGAAGGTGTAGCGCGGCTTCTTCAACCTTCTTAGGGTTCCCTCCGTGGAGGTGCACAAGTGAGGGAGCTTTCCTACAGGGGTAGCCGGTTCCTTGCCTTTATTCAAGGGGGAGCTCTTGCCGCCCGCCGCAGGAAGTGCCCTTGCTGTTGGAGGTGATCTGCTATGTCCAGTCTCATTCCAAGCGGTAGATTGGGGTGGTCATGTCTTTCATCCCCAGCGACCGCCTTAGATTGTTCGTGACCGCATATCACCCTGTGGCCGTTCAGCTGTTGGCACGATTCCTTATACCTTGGCTTGGGTAGGCTGGTTCACGCTGGCATGTTCCAATATGGGTAGGCTGGTCCATATTGGCTTCCCGGACAGGGCCTCTAGTCCCCTGGCCGTTCCCAGTACCTGGCCGGGGACGCGCCCGATAGATAGCCCAACCCACGGGGCCTTGACACCGTATTCACCAGATTTGGCTCCCTGCTACCTTTTCTGTTTTCAAGATTGAAGAGACCCATGAAAGTACGGCGTTTTGCGATTTAATCGCTGAAAGAGCTCAAGGACATACCAAAAAGTGCAAATCAGAACTGCTTCCAGGATTCGAAAAAACACTGGCAGAAGTTTATTATATCTGAGGGGGACTACTTTCAAGGGTACAAAATATAAATTGATGAATAAATAAATATTTTTTAAGAAAACTGAAATTACAGCTTATTTTTTTTAACAGACTTCGTATAAATGGTACACCTCGAGTGGTGATACACAAAATGTATGCTAATAATTTTTATCATGATTCTTAGGAGGACCTGGTTCCACTCCTTATAACAATGTCTACGTTAATGAAGAAATACAGAAAATCTCTATGGTCGATAGCGACACAGATTGCTCAACGTCTGCATCAAATACGTTTTCTGATGCTAGCAGTATTGCCTCTACTGCATCTACAGAAGAAATGAAAGACGATAATCAAATTGTTGAAAACGTTATTTCTACAACTATAGACAATTCTGCCACATCTATCGAAAGTCCACAAGTTAATAGTAGTGACACTGGTGAAAACTCTACTCCGGGACCTATTTCCACTGAGGAAACTGTTGATGCAAATAAAACAGAAAATGAAACAGGGGAAAACTCCGAATTTCCAACTGAAAGTACTGAAAATTGTGATTTTATGGACACTCAAGCACCGGAGCCTACTCCAGAAGTTAATTTAAGTGGTCTGTGTGGTGAGAGACAATGGTTGGGAAAAGAAGCTCCGCTTTGGATACCCGACTCGGATACTACCAGTTGCTTGCATTGTGACATGAAATTTACTGTTTTGAAAAGGAGGCATCATTGTAGAGCGTGTGGCCTGGTAATTATATTTGTTTAACTATTTCAGAGTGAAAGTAAATCTTCGTTTGAATATCTTGGATACAGTTTCTTAGGGAATGTTAGATGTTTCCACTAGTATCTACAAAAATGGTTGGTTTGAAAGCTATGAAAAGAAAAATAATGAAATATTGAAAATATTAACAATGCCCAAATGTTCAAATAAGTTTAGAAAAAGAAATTGTCAAAAAACAAGTGGAACTATGAAAATTATATATAAAAGTCAAAAAATATTTTTTCAAGAAAACAAAGTACTGTCACCTTAAAGGGTAACGAATTAATAAATGGGTGGAAACAATGAGTAAAATGTTTGACGGTAGTTGACAATTTTTCTTGGTGCATTTCATTAGTTCGGACTTCCATTGTCTAATATGATATAAATTGATTTTCAGTATCCAGAGTCGTCTTTAACTGTAGTTATTCCTCCGAGATCTGACTATAGGTCATTCGAGTGCTTTCACCTATCCCCTCTTCCCTCTCTCCGCTTCATCGGTTATTGCGGAAGCTGAAAGTTTGTCGGGAGTTGGTCGTGCTCCACTTGTTGCGTATCTCTACGCTAACTTGGCTAAATGCGATATTAGACAACATATATACGGCTTCTTTGAATTTTCTCCTAAACCAGTGTTCTTCTTTGTGGATGATTTCAGCTTGAGCCCACTTGATGTTATGTTGATGGGTCCAAACGTGCTCTGATATTCCTGATTTGCTGGTTTTTCCTCGCTGTGTGTGTTTCTTGTGCTCGGCAATGCGAACTTTCAATGGCATCTTAGTTTCACCGATGTATGATTCTCCACACTCGCAGGGTATCCGGTAAATGCAATTCTTGGAATTGCAGTCTGCGTTTGGTGGCCTGCTTTTGTGAGGCTGCTACAGATAGTGTTCCTAGATCTGGAGCAGGTTCTGATGTTATACCTGGGCCCAATCCTTCTCATCCTTTCCGATAATCCTCTGATGTAGGGAAGTACAAGTACTGGTTGTGGCGGCTTCTCTTTTTTGTGGAGCTCTTGCTGTCTTCTAGCTGAAACCTGTTCCACCATCACTTTGGATAAACCATTCCATTGAAGTTCATTTTTGATGATGCCTAGTTCCTTTTCGATACCTTCTTTTATATTACAGAGCCCGAAAGCAAGGTCTAGTAGAGTCTTGATGATTCCTCTGTTAGTCGATTGATGGTGGTTGTATTCCTGGTTCAGATACTGTCCTGTGTGAGTGGGTTTTTGGATACACAGATGTTTTCCATTTCATGTCCGTCGTCTTCACCAATACGTCTAATAATGGTAATTCGTTGTGGACTTCCTTTTCCATTGTGAAATAGATGAAAGGACTTACGTTGTTGATGTGTAACTGATGAAGCGGATAGAGGGAAGAGGGGATAGGTGAAAGCACTCTGATGACCTATAAATAGTCAGATCTCGGAGGAATAAGTCCAGTTATCACCCAAAGATGATTGTGGATACTAACAATCGAATATTAGGGAAATATTTCAAATCAAGCTACTTCACATTTTGATTGTGTATACTAACCATCAAAACATGCGCAGTACTTTGGTTTGAAATATTTTTCTACTTTTTTTTCATTTATTTTTTGACATTTTTTATGTTGTTTGAACCAGTGTTATAACAGAGCTATCCAGTGGAGACGAAGGTGGTTGGCTTCCACATAATATAAACTATTCAATCAGTCAGTGAATTGTGGTATTTATAAATTTTGCCCATGTATGAAATATACTAACTTCTTTGAAATGACTAATGTTTTGGCTAGCAATTCCTGTCCGTTCTCCAAACCTAAAATGTGCTTTGGTTGGAAATTTGTATGTTTACAATGTCAAGAAACTGACTAATTAGACTCAACAAAATTTTTTCAGCTCTGCACAATAGAATAGCATGCCCCTCTATAAACAAAAGTCGCTTAAAACTCTATTGATTAATTATCTTTATTATTGCTGAGCTATTATTCACTATGTAACTGTCACTTTGTATATTTATGTTATTTCTATCACGAAAAAAAGTGTTCGTCAGTTGACAATTTGAATGGTTTGTACGAAGTCTGTTCGAAAAATAAGGTGAATGTTCGATTAGCGATTTTTTTTATGTTGGTGCACTCGTCTCGAACATATGTTCACAGTTTCAGCTGTTTAACATGTTTATTTTGTTGGTGATATATATGTTATATGTTGGCATAAAAGTTGGAAGTGTTTTGCATGTTCGCAGATTCTCTGCTGTCAAAAAAAAAATATCAAAGGACGTGCATCAAATTTTGTGTAAAAAATGGAATTAGGTGCTCAAAAACACTTGAAATGTTGAGAAATTGAGAAAAAATTGTTATGTTATCAGTTGGCATGCAATTTCTTTGAAAATTTTGGACATGAAACTTGTGACAGCACTTTCCAAAATTGCTGACTTTGGAACAAAAAACCGTCGCATTAGCAATGCTCAGGAATTGTTGAATGACGTCAACGGCGATCCAGATTTGCATAAAACGTTTATAACTGGTGAAGAATCACAGATATATGGTTATGACATCGAAACCAAAGTCTTATCGTCCTAATGGAAAAGCCCAGGAGAACCAAGACCATAAAAGCACGGCAAGTTCGATCAAATGTCATGGTCCCGTTAACCAGCTGGCGCACCCCTACAAACGACAACCCTCAGAAGTCGAAATTTGTGCGAGCTAAGGACTAACGAGGTCTTACCTTTCAACGTGTGATTCCGGACACTGGTTGGACGATAGTGAGTAAAAATCGATCGTTCAGCCTGCGGCTCGAACCACCGACTAACACGGGGGTTGATTGAGCGAGTGAACAAAGCACAAGAGTCATCAAGAGTTCTTGCCGCTTGGTCGGTAAATGAGGAGTATTATCAATACCTTAATCATGCCTCAGCCACTGCATTCAAATAAATGGACGGCGTTTTGCGACGATTGAGGAGATGAATACAGAATAGCCGAGAGAGCTCAAAGACATATCGAAAAGTGTTTACTACAACTGCTTCAAATTAAGGAACAAAATAGAAATTGATGAATAAATGAATTATTTTTGAAAAAAATGAAAAATCGTCTTATTTTTTCAACAGACCTGGTACTTGTCAATTTCATGTTAATAAAAGTTCCAAAACAGTGTTATAACTTGTTTGTGATATTGGAAAAATTGCAACANTTTCATTTCCAACCTATCGGTCAGTAGCCAAGCGGTTCGGAGTGGGTGCTTTGTTCACTGACTCGAATTGACTGCCGTGTTGGTCGGTGGTTCAAGCCCTAGTCTGAACGATCGATCTTCACTTGCTATCGCCCAACCCGTGTTAGGAATTACACGTTAAAAGGTTAATCCTTAGCTCGCACAAGTTTCGACTTCTGAGGGTTGTCGTTCGTAGGGGTGCGACAGCTAGTTAACGGAAAAACAGATTTTAAACAGTGCAGATTGTTATGTTTTTGCCAGAAATTCCTTTCCTGGTTATTTTTTTGTGGCGATTGAGATACCAGCCAGTTCTGTTTGAAAACCATGCTGGTATTTTGTCCCATTCCTTAGGCTCAGTGATTTGGAGTACACTCCACATCCTGAGCCTTCTTTGGTTTTTAAGCCATCTGTATATATGCGTATTGCATTTGTAGCATCTGACTCTGTGTTCTGTTTTATTTGTATTTTGTAGGGTTTATTAAACACAAACCTGGGTTCAATTGCATCATTGGTTGCTTGAAGCAGAGGTTGCGCAGTGAGCGCTTCTTGCTCAGCCTCAATTGACCCATTCCCACTTCCAAGTTTACACCAGCCGTGGACAATCGTAACATGGCCATTAACGCAACCTCTTTAACGTACAGGTCCAGAGGGGTCAGACCCGTGATTACTTCCATTGCCGCGGTTGGTGTTGTTCTCATGGCTCCTATGATGTTTAAACAAGCCAATCGCTGTATTTGATATAATTTTTGGATGGCCTTTGCTTGTAGAACTTTCGGTACCCATGCAATGGCTCCGTACATTAACATAGGTCTTATTATTGCAGTGTATTTCCAGGTGAAAGACCCCATGAGCGTCCCACTGTCCTCCGACATTGCTCATAAGCCACATATGCTCTTTTTGCTCTACTCTGTAGTGAGAGTTCCATGTTAGCTTCCTGTCGAGGATAATACCAAGGTATTTCACCTCTTCAGAGAAGTTCAGTTTGGGTTTGAAGATTTCAGGTTTTAAGCCCAATAAACTTCTTTTCCTGGTGAAAAGGACCATCTCAGTCTTCTTGGGATGGATCGACAGTGAGTGTTCCTTACACCATGTTTCCATCAATTTGAGCCCATCCTGCGCTAGTACTTGTCAATTTCATGTGAATAAAAGTTCCACAACAGTGTTAAAACTTGTTTGTGATATTGGAAAAGTTGCAGCATTCTTATACTTTTAAATTTCATACCCTCTGTAATATTTCCTTTCAATAATATTTTTGGTATTGTGTATTTCTTTTTTTAACCAGCACATCATAGTCATAGTCATAGATCTTTATTTGCTCCAGTTACATATAATGTACATATATACAAACTCCGAGGAGTGTGGAACATGTCAGTAGTAAATAACAAATCAAAGTTTTACATTCATAATCAATATTATCTCACGAGTAGTTTTAAGACACAAAAAAAACAATATATACAAAAATCAGGCATATGTAAATAACATTCATATAGTTAGCATACTATCATTTAAGAATTCCTGCAAGCTATAATAAGGTTTTTCTACGAGATAGCTCTCCAAACGACATTTCATTGTTGAAATTGGAAGATTTCTTAGAGTGAGTGGAAATTCATTGTAAATGTTTATAACGCTATATTTGACATTTCTCTGTATGTATGTATAGTTGCATTTCTCATTTCTAAGATCATTCTTTGTTGTGGTGTTGTATAAGTGATCCTTTTCACAGTTAATGAAAAGTTCTGATTTGTTTTCTGTTACAAATACTACTGCTTCATATATATAGAGATTTATCAAAGTTGAAATTTTGCTCCTAATAAAAGCTTCTCTGCAGCTATCGTTTTTTTTCATCTTATAGATATACCTAATACATTTTTGGTTTGTGAATCTTTATATTTTTTTGCAAAACTTTCTAGGATATTGTTTTTGTGGTAGTTGGGTTTTGTTATTTTTTTGATTAATGACCATGTAGCTTTGGTTTTATTTTCGGCTTTCATTATATATTCTGAATAGCCTTGTTATTATTTTCAAAATTTCACTTATTTTTCTCTTTGTAAACCGGAACTTCTAACGGTCGCTGAAAGTCAATCTATTTGATCTGATGAAAGTGATGTTACTCAACACCAAAACTGAAGAATACTCCATCCAAATTGGAATCATTAGAAGATAATCTAAACCATGATTGATAAAAGTAATTAGACCATGGTGTTGGAAAAGGTAATTTCCGTCATGTTCATTCATTGACAACTACAGAATCGATTACGGTGGCGTATCTTCCACTCTGTCCTTTGGTATCTGTTATGGAATATTCCATATTTCAGAATAGGTGTCAATTCACTAACAGTTTTTTACTTTAGCTGTTTAGTTAGCACACTTTAGTAATTGTGTCATGATCTAATATTGTTGCGATATAGAAATAGTAGAGACCAACATGAAATATAAATATATTCCAAACTGTTCAGCTTTCAAGACATATTCTCAATTATTTCAAGGTTCTTTGTTCGAAATGCTGTTACCTTCGGTTCAAATTGGAGTATCTGGATGCTGAAGCTAGAGTTTGCAACAAATGTCATAATATACTGAATACAGAAACAAATAGTAGTTCAAGCTCGGACGTCTCTCCCGAATCTGGAAATTCTCCCCATCATCGCCCCAATCCAAATAACCCACTGGAGTATTGTTCCACAATATCTCCACTGGAGCAAGTTGGAAGCAGTAGTACCAATCCACCAGCCATAATGGTTCCTGTGGGCGTACTGAAACGAAAAGGTTGGTAACAAGTTTAGAAAAAATTTTCACGAATTCCTGTACATTTGATTTGTTTTTACAAGGTTCAAATAAGGCGAAATCAAACAAAAGCGTCATGTTTTGTGATGGTATTCGCCCTGGAAGTGATCTGACGAATCTGGACAATGATTTCAATTATAATAACACAAAAACAAAGAAACTGGAGAAAAATAATTCATCTATTGGAAAAGTCAACATAAATTTGCCCATCATTGATTCAGAAACAAACACATTTATCCCTAAGAGTGAAAACAGCTTACCACCTCTTGTGACAAGATGTAAAACAGGTTAGTAATAGTATGTTTTAATTTAAAAGGAATTTACCTCAATATACATATAGAAAATTATTTAGAAAAGAACCTAATTTCCTAATTGGAGGTATTATGTGGGCTAAAAAATTCGTAGGCTAACACACAGATGACGTTACTAGTATTTAATCCCAATGATTTTCAGTTAACCCTAAACTTCAAAAGACACATACAAATTTCACAGCTGTCGGACTATTAGTTCATGGGATAGAACATTTTTAGTGAAGCAATATTTGTTAGTTTGAAGAATGGGTACAAAGGAATTTTGTGTGTTGATAAAGTATTGCTATTTGGGGAAAAAATAACTTCGGGGGAAGTATCCAAACTGAATGATTCACATTTTACAAAGTTGAAAATACCTTATTCTTTTGTCTTGTGAACATAAAGTAAATTTAGAAATTTTGGAGATTGATTATAAAAATTTCAAATAATAAAGGTCTGAATTCAAAGGCCTGTGAAACTCCGGAAATAATAAAATAGTGAGATTTGTATAATTCATGTACTACTTTCTGACTTAAAAAGTGATAGAACATTTGTAAAAACTGTAATTGGTCAAATAAACGATATATTTGAACCAAAAGCTTTATGAAAATCTAAATAAACATCTAGTTGACTTACTGGAAAAAAGCCATCCTGAAACAGCTACTTTCATATAATCATTAAATTACACAATTATTTGAAACAAATACTTTCATATGAACACTGAATTATACAAAAATTACCTTTCTCTACTCTGTGTCTAAAAGTTACTTCTATGCATGATCTACACATCTATGTATAGTGTTAATTCTTCTAAAATTGATTACTTCCATCCTTTCTTTGGAAGATTCCCATATTTTTTTGTATTGAGATGAAGTAGTAGAAGGCCAAAAACTTTCTTTCCCAAAAAAATAATCACTCCTAAAAATATAACCCTTTCAATTTAATGAATATTTATTGAGATATGGAGCTACAAAAACACATGACATTAAAACGGATTAAACTTTTGACACAACCAATAACAATAATAATATAATATATTAGAGGGTATGCTTTACATTGTTCTGCAACATAAAATGCAACAACGTCAGACAGATTGTACAAACATTAAAAAGAAAAACTATCAGTATACAGTAGGAATAAAAACATCTTAATATAAAATGAAGTTAACTGTAATTCGGATAATCCTGAATTGAATATGGTTCCAAGTTTATAAGGAAATCTTTCACATATTTTTCAAATTGTTTAAAGCTCTCACAGAATTTGATATTTTGTGGTAATTTATTAAAAAACTTGATTGATGCATATGACGGATGCTTTTCTGTTAGTGTTAGTCTAAGAATAGGGAAACATATATTTGCATTCCGCAAAGGGTAAGTATGATTTGATCCTGCTTCCAAGAACTTATATTTCTGTTTGAATAAATACAATATACACTCATAAATGTATAATGCATGTATTGTCATTATATGTTATCCTTGAATTTGCTCCGACAAGATTGGCGGTACAAATAATCCTTATACAGTAGCAGATTTGATTCAATTTTTTTCCTAAATTTATAATGTGGGTATGCCAGAGAAGATGCTCATTGATGTGTATACCTAAAAATTTGGGATGATTTAGTAATTGAATTTCGATAGTTGCAGCTAGGAACCAGTAAAGTTGTGTCATCGGCATAATTAGTCATAAGTTTTTCCAATAAATATGTGTGATTAAGGCAGTCATATGCTTTAGAAAGGTCTAAGAATATTCCAAGAAGTATTTCGTTATTTTCAAATGAAATGACTCAATAATGTTTTCAGTAAACTGTATGATTGCTGTGTCAATTGATCTTCCTTTAATATATCCGTGTTGAGTTGGGTTTAAGAGATTACAATGTTTCATGAAGTTAATTAATCTGTCACACATCGCCATTTCAAAAAGTTTAGAAAACGATGGCAAGACACTTATAGGCCTATAAATTTCAATCAATTCACAATCTCCTTTTTTGTATATTGGTTTCATGAGAGCTAGTTTTTAATTGTTGAGGAAACCTTCCATATTTGAATGAGTTATTCATTATATAGCAAATTATTTTGGAAATATTATCTATACATATTTTTTTCAGACCTATTGGTATTTCGTCATCTCCACATGTGTGTTTGTTTTTTATTTTCCGTTCCAGATTCTTAATTTCTTCTTCAGTGACTGGCCCAAATAAGTTAACATTCTGAAATTATTATTCTCGTCTCCTTCAATCGGGCAAATTTCCTTTATGGATTGTATAGTTTTTTTGCACAGTAATGAATGCCATATCAATTGCTTATTACTTGTTGAATATCTTCGAATGTTGATCATTCATAATGAATAAATTATTGTACTATGTGCTCCACCATATGCACCAGTATTAGAATACGTTCACTGAACTTTGTTTCGTTGCCGAGAAGTATATTTTTTAAAGAGCAAAAAATAGCGCTATCAACTTTTGTTTATATAATGACAACTGCTTTTTCTGATATTAAAATTGAAGATGGTGATTTGTTGGTACGTTAAATAGATCTGAAATTTCAAATTGTTTGCTGAAAGGTGAGACCTTTATTTGAATTGAAGAGGTTATATTTTTTAGGAGTGATTAGTTTTTGGGAAAGAAAGTTTTTGGCTTTCTGAATTACGATTTTTTATATGAAAGTAGATGTTTCAGGAGGACTTTCTTTCAGTTTGTGTCTGAAAGTTACTTCTTTGCATGATCTACACATCCATGTATAGAGTTACTTCCTTCCTTTCTTTGGAAGACTTCCTCATCCTTCTTTTTTTTGTATCAAGATGGAGTAGTAGAAAGCCAAAAACTTTCTTTCCCAAAAAAGTGAGACCTTTACTTTCACAAGTTTGAATTCTGAAAGTTGATTGACAAACAAAAACGTTTTCACCCATTCCGTTATGCATTATTATTATCATACAAAATACCTATATTTTTTGCAGACATCACTTATACAGACTGTTCTAACAATTCTGCAACGGTTGATATGCTGAAACAAGGTCAACATACATTCGCAGTCCATCTCAGTTTATATGTACATGCTAAAATAATTGATATGAGCTGCTGCATTAATAAAATGGCCTGGTGTTTTTGTACCGAAGGAATGATAAATGTTGGACAAGATGAAATTGTAATATTATTAGAATACATAGACGAAGAATCATTTGTACCCAAAGATATTTTTTATCATATCAATAATATTTACACTGATGCAGTTAAAGGTTAGTATGGTCATTTGTGTTGTCGCATTTCTCAAATTTACATTGTTTCAGGCAGTTCTGTGAAGGAATTGGGATTATCATTACACAATTCTACAAATTTTTTAGATTCTAAAAATCATGCAGGATTCGTCTATATCCGTCCAACTTTTCAATGTGTGGAAAACATCATAAAACCCAAAGATCCGTACTTGATAGGTATTTTAATTCATCGATGGGAAACACCTTGGGCAAAGTTGTTTCCTTTAAGGTTAATTCTCAGATTGGGAGCAGAATATAGGTGAAAATAATGGCAAAAAGTCGTTTAATGAATTTATTACAATAATTTCATTACAGATACTATCCAAGCCCCATCATATCCACGAGACACAGGGACAGTGTTTTTGTGGAAATAGGACACACTATTATCAATTTACTAGCTGATTTTAGAAATTTTTCTTATACTCTTCCTCAGATCAGAGGGTTAACTATCCATATGGAAGACAAAAATACCACTGTGACCATCCCAGTCAATCGCTATGATCAGGTATGAAAATTACAAATGCATTTTCCCGGATACATTTTCCCCATAAATATTAAACTGATTCGGCTTTTAAATGTCTGGATAGGAACGGTCAAAAGGTGTTTTCTAGGTCTTGCATATAAAGACTTACTCATTCGTCACAATTCTTTTGATAAGAGATGAAATATGTTTAAAGAACCAGCTAGGCTGGTCAAGGGAAAAATTTGTTTTTCCTTGGTAAAAATGTTACTGACCGGATTTGAAGAATATTACGGAAACACAACGTGAAACCAATTATTAGGGCAACAAAAACTATCAGACAAAGCCCATAGTCAGCTAAGGACCCTAGATAACCTTTACGGGTCGGTCTACATTTGAACCACAAAAAAAAGTGTTGGTACCGCCCGAGAATACCTACCACAGAGAAGCGACATTAATGTGGGATCCTTTGATGCTCGGTGTCCCAACTCCGAACCGAGGATTTTGAGTGATAAACAAGCTGGTTCACTGAGAAAAATGACCTCTCAGCGATATACACTAATAAAAATACATACCTACTCTCATATTCTAGTATAGTACGTGGGCACACTGTGAAATATAAAATTATAGTGTGAAGGGAATCTTACTCCATTAAATTTTTATATTGCTAATTGAACAACTTTCGCAGTAATAATAGAGAATATTCAACTATGTTGCAATTTATTATTATTTATGATGAATTGGCTTTTAAGAAATGAATTAAATTACTTTATTTTGTAAATCCAATTCATTAGATAGAAAATTAAAATAAAGTTACGATAATTGAATAATGCTTATATTATATAATTATTTTATATCCTCTGAAATAAATAAGTCCACTAAGGATGAAATTAATAGAAGTGACTTTTGTTATTT